GAGCGTGACAGATGTTGTCATTGCCCCATTGTGTAGGAGCGTAGGACGCGGCTTCTCTTCTGTCAGCCTGCAACTGAGCCGTGACTGAATACTTGGACCCCAGGTCCAGAGATTTGGATACTGTAATACTTCTTTGTTGTTATAACATAAAGGCACTACTGTTCTGTTAATTCCCCAAATGTTCAAATTAAGAAAGCTATTAAGATGGGCAACCACATGTAGAAATGTTTATTTTCAGATCTTTTCAAATAATACTTTTCTATATTAAAAGCCAAGGATTTCATATCTAACTTTATAACCAGAATTATTCAGTAGGTTGGCAACACTTAATTTTGAAGGCAGACAGTTCTTGCTTTAGTATGTAAGTATACATTTTGTAATGATGAATCTATAATGATCAAGGGACATTTCTCTCAAACACTACAATAGTTTTGTGTACAATTGCTCATAAAAATATGGAATTTCGTATTTTTCTTTTACTTTGGAAGTAATACTTTTTAAACTACCTTTGCAGGTAAAGTCATGGGGATACTTAGAGATAAGATAATACAAAGATTCTAGAAATTACAGTAACAAAAGCATACAGTGATGATAGGGGCTCTCAAATATGATAAAACAAATATGAAAATAGATTCATGAAAATATGTTCCTTTAAATAGGGCATAGTTAACCTACAGGCATATTTAACAAGATGTTTCAATTTACTGTATATTTTGTACTTATTGTAAATGTTTCTCTAATCAGATTGCTTTAAAGAACTCATTATATTTGTTATCTTGTTGAGCTAATATATAGGAGTAAATGTGTCTTCCACAAGGAACTTCACTGGTGAGATTGCACTGTCTTGATTACATAAGCATATGCATCTTCTTTGGTTATAGAATGGAAAAGAGAGATATACAAGGCTTTTCTTTCTAACTTTTCCAAGCAAAATCCTGAAGTGTTTTATGGCTGATATTTATCTGGCTGTGATCTTAATACAAACCCAACTGATATTTCATCTAGGAGATGCTTTCTGTCTTGTAATTAGGAATTAAACCTGTATTCTGCATTCCTATTAATGTTTTGCTTTACCTTCAAGTAATATTGCTGCTATTTAATAACATTTTAAAATAAAGGATATTTCTGACACTTAAGTACAATTTCAATTACAGTAATTCACGTAGTAATTTCAGGAGAGTTGTCAATTTACTGGGTCCATGCTACTGAGCTACGTATATATAAATTAAAAACTAACAGCTGCAAACTTTCAAGATGTTATCTAATGAGTCTTGTTACACAGTATAAAATTAATATTATTTTTGAACTGTAGAGTCCTATTTCAGTGTTATGAGTCACTGTTGTTTTAAAAATCTCTATTGCAAAATGATAGGCATGTACAAAAGATGTCTCTGATGTGAGTGGTTAACTATAATTTGCATATCTTAAATATGTATAAATGCTCAAATTTCAGAATTACTATTAGAACTCGGATTAACATTCCTTTGAATATCTTCATAGAGGACAACTCCTCATTCAATGAAGATTAATTTTATTTTCCCAAATTCTAAGGCTGGTGAATATACAGGATGATTGTACTGGAATACTATTGGGGACCAAAGCAAATGAATGATCAGATTATGAAACTCATATCCTTTTGAAGGTAGCTACAAAAGAGATTTTTCAAAGCTTCCTTAGGCCATTCATCCTTAGAAAACACTGTCATGATCACTAACTTCAAGCATTACTATTCATTTGACTATATAGATGTTACTATATAGTTAGTTAAAAAGGTCAATAAGTCTCATGACTTTATAACTTATATTTAAGATGTTTTTTAAAAATATTTGGATGTGTTGATTGGGCAAATGTATTTGATTAATAAAATATCTATTTAAATAAATCACGAGCTTCTATCTTCTAGTTATTGGCAAGTTTTAAAGCTAAAATATATACACAGTCATATAACAAACCCTATTAACTTGCAAAACGTAGAATATATGATTTCCTTATTTCTGAATAACATTGATCATTTTCAAAATAACTTTTTATTGAGATTTGCCATTAACTATTTTATTTCAAAGATTGAAATTTTGTACCAAGTGAATCCAGGTTTCATGTGCAAATATGTTGGTTCTTTTATTTGGGGGTTGGGAAGAGGTGGGTGATGATGGGACTTTCCCAGTATCCATAATAAACTTTTTAAAAACTCATAAAATGTGTTTATTGCTTTTACTACATGTCAAACTCATCAATAAAGAACATTTTAAAACTAATTTTTCCTTATTAAAAACTCATAATATATAAAAATACATGAGTTATTACTTATTCAGGAATGTATTTGTGAAAAATTACAAGATTGGTAATTTAACTTTTCTGTTTTCCCAGCATTTAGAGGTTCCCTATAAACATTTCTATCACTTGATGAATATGATAGAATAGCATGTTCTTAAACCAACCAACCATACTTCATATTCTTCACGAAATAAAGTATCTTGCTAATGCTAAATAAACTCATATTTCTGTTTTCAATTTTTTAAATAAGAAAATAAAACAATATAAATCACATGTTCTTGAATACCAGTACCATGAAGCCAGACCAGAGTCCAAAATTATTTTTGGAAAGTCAATATGTGAAAAGTAGTTGCTGATATTGGCATAGATTTTCTTGTTGTGAGTTAATCTGGAAAAATGACCAATCTCCAATAATAAAACGTGCGTTTAGCTTTTTAAAGTGCTCTTTAAAGTTGTGAAGAACTTAAAAGTCCCTCTTTTCAATAGTTGTCTACATCTCATGAATTTATTTAAATGCCTTTCTTGGGAAGCTGTTGGAGTTTAGTGAAAAGAGCCCTGCCCTCCAGGTCAGGCATCTGGATTCCTGTCTCAGCACTGCCATTCCTGAGGTGTGTCACCTGCAAACGGTTTAATCTCAAGGTCTCAGTTTTCTTATCTTTAATGAGAGGATTAGACTCAAGGATCTCTTAGGAGGGTCCCATCTCATTGTTTCCTGTGACTTCTGTAGAATGAAGACTTGGCTACGTATATGCATGTATATGCAATCTTGCTGTTCAGTCCAGGAATTTTTTTAAAGGCATTTTTTAAAATCATGAATTTTCTATCAATTAAAGGACTGGCATGCTATAAACAGGAATTAATTCATTCACTTTTCACAGTTCTGTTGATTATGAGACTGTGTATGTGGCTTTGATTCTTCATGACAGGGATTCCTAGATTTACAACAATTCTAAGTCTTTATTATTGTGACAGTTTCCCCCCAATAATATGTTACTCTGTATTTTAAATTAATTACAATTTATTTTATTTATAGATTTTTCTACCCAAATCACTGCTATACCACCATAATCACAGCCATCTTCATCTTTTGCCTGCCTAGTTGCCACAGCCTCTTAACTGATCTCACTCCCAGCTTCAATATGATCTTTTCCAATCCATCTTCCCCTTCAAAAAAGAAGTGATCTCATGAAGACTCCATGTCATTCCCCTGCTTAAACTATCGATTATATGCCATTGCCCTTAGAATAAAATCCAAACTCTTGAGCAGTGTTCACAAGGTCTTCACTATCAACCCACTGTTGTCTTCAGCAACTCTCTTCTGCAGCCCTCACTGAAGTGCCCAGCCCTCTCCTGTCCATGGCAGCATCACTCTTCCCCTCATGGCCTGTCTAACCCTTCCTGTTTCCAGAACTCTGCCACATTAAGTGCTTCTTCTATGTCTTCATATAAAATCTTGTACAAACCCCTATTATCACTTACCACATGGTAAAACTAACCCTGTTAAATAACCCCACTAGACTGCTGGTTAGGTCTTTGAGAACCAAAAATATGACTTCATCTTTGTTTCCTGGGGTTCTAAAATGGTGCCAAGCACTTAGTGAGGTCAATCAGTATTTTCTGAATGAACAACTACATGAATAAATAATTGAAGAAAATTTGGGATGATTGCAGAGCTGGAATGGGAATCACATTTTGACATCATAATTTTCTTCATTTGCATGAGGGGTTTGAAAAGTACTGATCCTAATAAGATTTTCCTTCTCATCATTTTCTCACTCATGAATCATTAAGTTGGGAAAATGAAAATGTATGTAAAGCATATCAAGTATATTTCATCTTTTCAGGTAATGCCTATCTTTACTCTCAATTTTCTTGCCTGAAATTTATTTTCACGGCTTCAGGGGCAGGAAATGCTAGTACTTAAAACTGGTTTGGAAACATTCTCTGGCATTTTAGAATGTTGCTCTTTCTTTTACTATCCTATTTCCCATTTTGAAATTTATACTAAAACATTGTTTTTATCGAGTTTTACATTTTAGAAAACACAGTCCCATACACTGTCTCATTTGAACCCAGGACAAATTAAATAGCATAGTGGAGAAATCACATAAATAATAGCTCAGGTTCTTTAGCTTGCAATTTCATCATTTTTGAATGTTTACTTAAGATAACAAGAGCTTAAAGAATTTTTACAAGATTACATATTACTTTCAGATAAAAAAAAAAAGTAGGTAGTGTTGCAATGAAAATGTTGCACCACTAATGCAACTTATCATAAATCAGGATTTGGTATATTTCCTTCCTTCATGGTATATGTGTATGTAGGGAGGACAAGAGAAGGAATTGAAGGAGGAGGGAGCAGAAGATAAGGATATACTAGATATCTAGGTTATATTTTTTAGGAATAAAAATAATTTCGGCTTCCATACCTAACCTTCCCAATTTCTTCTCCCTGTTTACCGCCAAATGAGCAAAAGAAGGCACCCTGTTGTATTTTAAAACCATTTTTGCACCCACTCTTCAGCTTCTTTCTTCGGACTATATCTGAACTGCTACCACTGGAGCCTTACACCTTGATGCTTGCTTAAATGAATGATACCTTTGGGTGAGGTAACATTTCAGTCTATTATTAGACATCCATTACTTCACTGTGAATAGATGATCTGAGAAGGGGATGCTGAAAACTATATAAGGGGCCCTAGCATGAGAGCCTTGAGTGGAGCGCCACCTGAGAGCATCTTACACTGATTAAAAGACATGCCACCAAAGTGAAACTCAAGACAGAAAAGGGAGAACAGGAGGCTCCAATGACAC